GTCTGATTAGATGGATATTCTTGAAGAAGTAAGAATCGTGAAAGGTAATGATCCCAAGAAAGCTCAAAGGAAAAAGTATTTTTATGCTGCCTTATTTTAAGTTGGAAATGCTATGTATATGTATATATATATATATATTCATAAATGAAGATGATTAGGAAAAATCTTGTGTATACTGAAATACTGTGATTTATTGTTATTTTAGAATATGAATGTTACACCGCTACTCAATATCCCTTCTTTCTTTCTGTCATTTTGTGAATGATCACACATTTACTAGTATGCTATAGTACACTCAAGACTATTTTAGTGCCTCACTTGAAAGGTTCAGGATAAGCAGAATAAGGTTCAGGTTCACCATGACTATGGATTTGTGGCAAATCCTGTTAGTTCAAAAATGATCAAATTTGCTAGGTTGTATTTTTATACACCAAGATGCACTGCTTTGACCATAGCCAGCAGGCTTAAGCTGGCCATACATGGATCGAAATTTGTCTGGTTCAGCAGGGACAGGCCACATTTCAATCCATGTATGTCCACTGATTTTTGAACAGAAGTCGGTCTACTGATTGACTTCTGTTCAACCACCCTGTTGGAAAAAAGCCACTCGATCAGTGCTGCAGGCTATAGACTGCAACATTGATCAGTGTATTCTGATAGTGGGGAAGTCTCCCTGCTATCAGAATACAATAGAGCAGCGGGAGGATTCTCTCATCCATCTCGAATAAATGGATGGGGGAATCAGGTCAGATTTTTTTTTTACGTTCAACCCCCTGGTAGAATGAAAAAAAGTGACCCATGTATGGCCAGCTCTAAAAAAGGAATAAGTCCACCCCATCACTTCAAAATGGTGTGGTGGGGATGGAGGCCTAGAGCAGTCATAGTGGCAGTGTATTGAAAGCTGCTGTAGGAAGAGGATTGGAAAAGCTGACAGACTGCATAGAGGGAGATACGTTATGAATCTGTGCTTTACATCTGCATGCCAGTGTTTTGGATAATCACCCCTTTACATGGTATACTTACCTGCTTTGTGCAATTGTATTGCACAGAACAGTCCAAACCTCCTCTTCTGGGGTCTCCTGCCAATGCGATAAACTCCTCCTCTTCTCAGTATGCCACCATAGGAAGCTGCAAGATCTATCCCAAGCTGGGCTGTGTGTATCTATTGACACACACACAGTGTGGCTCAACCCTGCTCTCTCCATTCACAGGATTTGACTCCTGCTGCCTCTGTGAGCAAAGAGAGAGAGGAGAGGGCCACTGCAGATGGGCACAGGGCTAAATTGAGATAGGACTCAGGCAGGGGTGGACTGACAACTTATGGGGCCCCTGGGCAATAAGGGATCATGGGGCCCCTGTGTTCTTGCCCACACTCACAGCACACTCAAAAAAACCCTATAAAAGGTACCAGGGGGCATTTCATGGGGCCCCCTATTGACCCCGGGCCCTCGGGCAGTGCCCGAGTGCTCGAATGGTCAGTCTGCCCCTGGACGCAGGTAAGTATAAGCGGGGTGAGGAGGCGATACAATTACTTGTACCTTAATGCACAGACTGTATTAAGGTAAAAAATGTTGAGCCTTTAGAACAACTTTGATACATGTATGTTTTATTGTTATATCGGTAGGGTCTTATTTAAGTTTGAGGTGCTCAAAGTGCAGTGCTTAGCAGCAAATCCAAAGACAAATATTTGCTGGGGGGGAAATAGAAAATGTTTTGGTGTTTTATGTATTTATTTAATTTAACTTCAATTTCTTAATACCTTTTCTCACTTAACGTTTTTGCTATTTTTGCTATCATAAGGGGGCTGACAAACTTCCTATGTGAAAGCAAAATGCAGGTGACAGTGCTATGAGACCTTTAATGTCTAAGGTTCTATTAGATCACTAATGTCTGCACTCCACTGTTCCCTAGCCACTGATAGCACTGAAACCAGAAGTTACTAAATGTGTGCCACTTCTGGGTTCATTCACTAGAGGGATGATCAGCAAACAGATGTTTAATAATCTCCCTCTTCTCTAGAAGTGGGATTTGAATATGGCTCTCTGCACGCTAGGAAACCACTGTGTCAAACTTATTTGAGACATCCTTCTCTCAACCTTCTCCACATTGCAGTGTTTCACTTTTTTTATCACTCCTGCGAGACAAGTGTTGAACTTACAGCCTTATTCTGGTCCTGTCCTGCACAAGATGGTGTTAAGGCCAAGGACTTCCTTCTTACTTACTCTATGGTAGCTTCTGCCCCTCACTGTAAAAAGGACATCATGTTTCTGTACCTCCATCCAGCTACAGTTTACCAACTGAAAATTTCCCCCATTGTCCAGATTAGCTTTGGGCTGTATGTCTATCTCTTTCAGGAAAAATGATTTACTTTCAATTACGGTGCTCTGACTCCATGTTCCACCAGGTAAAGAACTTGCAGGCAAAATATAGCATTGGGAAAAACATGGCACAACTACCAGCTGATAGGCATTTGGAGTGTGTAAATATTTTCCTCTACATTTGTAATTAAATTTAGCAGAATCTTCATAGTTTGCAGCCATATATGTTCTAGCAATTAATAAGCTATGATCTCTGTTTTCAAAATCGGAAGTAATATTATTAATGTTAGACATGTCTTTGTGGTTTATTGCGGTAACTTCAGACACATCTGGCATGACCTCTGTAGTCAGTGGTGGCCCAGAAAGGATAGCAGATTACTGTGAAAAAAACAAGAGTCTTTCCATATACAGTAATAAACAGATTAAGAGATAAGGAGCTTCTTAATAACTATACAGGATGCTCCTCATTAGCACCCCTCAACAGCGTACAACAGATAACCACCACATACTCTGGTGCCACTCTCCAGATAGTGTACCCAATGAACACTTCCTCTGTTATAGTCAAGACTTCACTGGGACTCACTGCACCACCAATGCCTTTGTAGCTTTTGGACAGCAAACAACTACCCGTCTCTTTCTCTCTCTCTCTCTCTCTGTCTCCCTCTCTCTCTATCTGAGGTCCTCATGGGGGAAAATGACTATTTTCTTCAGAAGGTTACCAATTCTCGTGGACTCTAGCCCCAAATCTCTCTCATTTTCTGCTTCATCCCAGTTCACAACACTCTCTGCATTCTCAATCTCCCTATAACCTCAGTCAATTTACTTTTTGTAGTTTTCAGCATTTCCTTTGGGCAACTCCTTTTTTATTTTTCTTGTGCGTTAGAACTATTTGAATTCCACGCATCTGGGATCTGTAAGAAAATCTCCATGATTCAAGCATTACATTTGCATCCTCAACCAAACGCAAAGATAAGAACACTCTTTTTTAGATAGCTCATGCTGCATGGTGCATGGGTGACAAGAAACCCTTCTCAACCCTGAAGAGGAGGAACATTTGAAAGCCCTAGTTTGGATAATGGTCAACAATGCCATGCTCTTCCAGGATGGGAGGACAATGTACAGCACATAGATGGTAATTTCTCATCTGCAATCTCCTCAAAAGAAATACCCCTCACTCAACAGACACTTTTTCCAGACAGCTAGATACCAGAGAACCCTCCCTAAACATGGCATTCTCTCTTAATTGGGGAAAACCCATCAATCTCAGAGAGAACAGAGCGCCCAGGGAACATCTTAAAGGGCTTTGGACTTGAGTTGATTGCATCAGTTTGACATTAGTTTGAGATGCTTCTGCAGTCATTGAGAAATCATTAACAAGTACATTTGACATGCAATTGACCTCCTTGTGACCTGTATGTCACCTGTTTAAAGCAGGGTTTGTATTCCTATAGATTTGTATAAGAATGCAAAACATGAGTGATGTGACCAAAATCTGTCAGCACAGATCCTAAGAGCAATTAAAGGCTCTCACTTAAAAACCACATAACAGAATTTTCTATCTTAGTTAGAATAAAATGTAAAAGTAAGACAATAGTTTAAAATTATTTTTATGGATATATAATCTGTGTGTAGAAGCAAAGAGGAGTGATGCATGAAGAACTTTTAAGATTATGTATTGAAGCTGACTGAACTTTTTAAGTATTTCATGCTGTGCAACGTGATTATAACAGGCCATTGGGATAATCAGATCCCAAAAATTGGAGCAGACAGCACAATGTAAATCAAGGCTTTATATATAGCTGCCCTGGGCTCAAATAAATAAAATCCTCCCTATACACAAGCTTTGCTAATTGTTTTTGTTAGCAAGCTGACTTTTATATTTAGAGCTACACTATATTACCAAAAGTATTGGGATGCCTGCCTTTACACGCACATGAACTTAAATGGCATCCTAGTCTTTAAGTCCGTGTGTGCATGCACATGGGGGTGGGGAGGGGGCTCAACATATTTTTTTTTTGGGGGGGGGATTCCGTAGGGTTCAATATTGAGTTGACTCACCCTTTGAAGCTATAGCAGGTTCAACTCTTCTGGGAAGGCTGTCCACAAAGTTTAAAAGTGTGTCTACGGGAATGTTTGACCATTCTTCCAGAAGCGCATTTGTGAGGTCATGCACTGATGTCGGATGAGAAGGTCTGGCTCACAGTCTCCGCTCTAATTCATCCCAAAGGTGTTCTATTGGGTTGAGGCCAGTCAAGTTCCTCCACCCCAAACTCACTCATCCATGTCTTTATGGACCTTGCTTTGTACACTGGTGCGCAGTCCTGTTGAAACAGGAAAGGCCCATCCCCAAACTGTTTCCACAAAGTTTGGAGCATGAAATTGTCCAAAATGTCTAGGTATGCTTATGCCTTATGAGTTCCCTTCACTGGAACTAAGGGGTCAAGCCCAACCCCTGAAAAACAACCCCACACCATAATCACTCCTCCACCAAACTTTACACTTGGCGCAATGCAGTCAGATAAGTACCATTCTCCTGTCAACCGCCAAATCCAGACATGTCCATTGGATTGCCAGACAAAGAAGCATGATTCGTAACTCCAAAGAACACGTCTCCACTGCTCTAGAGTTCAGTGCTTTACATCACTGCATCCGACAATTTGTATTGCACTTGGTGATGTAAGGCTTGGATGCAGCTGCTTGGCCATGAAAACCCATTCCATGAAGCTCTGTTGTGCTAATCTGAAGGTCACACGAAGTTTGGAGGTCTTTTGCTATTGACTCTGCAGAAAGTTGGCGATGTCTACGCACTGTGCACTTCAGCATGCGCTGACCCTGCTCTCTCATTTTACGTGGCCTACTGCTTTGTGGCTGAGTTGCTGTTGTTCCCAGTTGCTTCCATTTTGTCATAATACCACTAATGGTTGACCGTGGAATATTTAGTAGCAAGGCAATTTTGCAGATGGACTTGTTGCATAGGTGGAAACCTATCACAGTACCACGCTTGAATGCACTGAGCTCCTAAAAGTGACCCACTCTTTCACAAATGTTTGTAGAAGCAGTCTTCATGCCTAGCTGCTTGATTTTATACACCTTGTAGTGGATTGTGATAGACAGTCCACGTTTTATTAGATGATCAGTAAAATGACAATTTTATAGTCTTGCTACTTTCTGCTTCTTGCTCTTTAAAAATTCCTTACTCTCTTAAGTAAACAATCAGATATAGGTAGACAGAACAATGATGATAATTAAGATGGCGCCTTCATCCGGAGTCTCACCCTAGGTGACTCATTAGGAGAAAAGTATCTTTTAATGTAAACAACCCCCATAAAAGGGAATGAGTCTTTTTGGGGAAAATGATTGGAAGATATCAACACGGATGGAAGAACACGCAGAAACCCAGTGGACTTTTCACCCAATCAATGTATATGCTTTGCCTGCATCATAAGCCCTATAAATGATACTGTTAGTTCCTCAATAAAACAGAATTTTAGGAAGTTGGCAAACTGCGAAGTGTCAGTGTCTTACTTCCACATGCACGTATTCTCATATTAATTTGGCTCACTGGTAGATCACGGTAAATGGTCTGTAAGTGACCTAGTCCAAAAATTTTGCAGATGGACTTGTTGCATAGGTGGAAACCTATCACAGTACTACGCTTGAATGCACTGAGCTCCTAAAAGTGACCCACTCTTTCACAAATGTTTGTAGAAGCAGTCTTCATGCCTAGCTGCTTGATTTTATACACCTGTGCCCATGGAGGTGATTGGAACACCTGAATCCAATGCTAGTGTTGTTGGATCGAATCCCAACCACGGCACCACCTGCCTAGAGTTTGCATGTTTTCCCTGTGCCTGTGTGGGTTTCCTCCGGGTACTCCGGTTTCCTCCCACACTTTACAGACATGCTGGTAGGTTAATTGGATCCTGTCCAAATTGGTCCTAGTATGTGTCTGTATGAATGCATGTTAGGGACATTAGATTGTACGCCCTTTGAGGGTTAGGGACTGATGTGAATGTACAATATATATGTAAAGCGCTGCTTAAATTGATGGCGCTATATAAGTACCTGTAATAAATAAATAAAAAATAAATATATACATTTGGAGGGTGTCTCATTACTTTTGGCAATATAGTGTATTTTTAGCTATACAGTCTATTGAAGAGAAAGAGCACACTGCCTGAACTACTTGTAGACTTAGATATCCCCTCCCTACAATTATTTTACTGAATATACCTACAAATGTCTAGGGGTGATCACACACAGTAAAGGCACTATAACTTGTGAAATGTGTAACATGCTATCTATCTATCTATCTATCTATCTATCTATCTATCTATCTATCTATTTACCCCCCTCCCCCCCAAAAAAAAGTAATACACAGTCTCTAATTGGCATAAAACCTCAAATATGAATTTAAGGCAGTAGAATATGTAGAGTATAGTAAAACACCACAGACAGGAATAGAAAAAAATGTAAATGATATCATGATAGATTTAAAGGTATTATAAAATAAAGAAAAGGGTTTTCCTGCACTTCCTCGTAGGTATGAACTGTTATTGGCACGACACTAAGACATTACTGGATGGTAGTAATTTTAATTTATTAGGATATATTAGTCCTTTTAATTAAACATTTACTGTAATCCATTACTAGTAGCACGCTTGTTTTGCAATTTCTTAATAGCCATAATGGCATTGTCTTTTGATAATAGACTTTTGTCTGAAATTCATTGGATGTTTATGATAGAGTGAGAGGCTGCTGCAAGAGATTCATGGATGTCAGCTTGATATCTTCCTATAGACCTATTCATTCAACCTGGTCATTGGACTATAGATGTAGAAATCCTTTGGGGACCTCCAGAAAATGGGATTTTTTTTTTAGCTCTCTCGTTGGCTTTATTCTCCCTCCCATTTTCTCCTCGGCTCTCACCTAGGAGCCAATTAGTTTTTTCTTTCAATAACCCTGTTCTAGCAGGATTGCAAGTGCTTTTTAATGTAGGATATGTACTTGAGTCATAACTCCAGGGTCACTTTCTGAGTAAGATTTTATGGGATTGATTAAACTTTAGCACCATAACTGTTGACTTTACAGGCCTGGGAAGAGACTCAGTCTAGCATAATTTGTGCACTGCAATTTTTTTTTTCATATTGAAGTGAGGAGTATAATCTATTTTATAGCAATAGTTTGCTACACACTGTTTAAGGTGACATTAAGGCCATTTTTAAAACTAAGATGCCTATATGTAGGGCCTATATGCTTTTGTGCCTCGGGTATGTGAGTGTCCCCTGCACCTGCCAGGACCTATGAAGTCTTCCTGGAGTCTACAATTTGTGCGTGCTCCTGATCAGAACTATCATCTTTTCTACAGCCATTCCCAGCACTCACACACATGTAGAGTGAGAGAGACATAGAGCCAAAGTTGACTATCTATTTTCATAGTTGCTTTTTGTTCGCACCACACCATTAAATAATTTAAGAAAAAAAACTAAGAGCAAAAACAGTGCATACCAGAACCACCTCACATTATATTACTCACAATCACTGCACCTCAATCATATCCTCATAGTAAAAATAAAAGTTATGAAAACACTTGCCATTGCCTTGTGTCTCATTTGGTTCTGCTTCCACTGATGCAAAGCTGTCCTACTATTAGCCAGTTTATTTTGAACTCCTGGCCAATTTTGATCAGCCAGTCAAAGTAGGTCATGTAGCACTTGATAAAATCGTGTCACTGCTAACACTACGTTGAAAAAAAGATTTTTTCAAATAAAATGGATTGGGGGTGCTGCTGCTGCTGTTATCTAAATGCAAAGTTAATGGTAAAATAAAAAAGCATTAATCATTTCCACAACCAAATATGCACTGCCAAAATTTGCTGTCACTCAAGCTGTCGTTAAACTCTTACTGTTCTGTAACACCACATAAAGCTTTAATGCATCAGATTTGTATATTTTCAATGTCATTCTCTATGCCATCTAAAAAAAACCTCTCCCCTTTGTACGTATGTACGTAGTTCCTCCTTGGTATTACCAAGATTTACCTGCCCTTTTTCTACAATAGCTTGTCTATTAGCCCTATAGGATGCTAGAATTGACCATGAAGGTTTGCCGGACAATAGACTTTATTGCAAATCATGCTTGGATTTTGAAGGATTCACTCATTACTTGTTCAAAGGTCAGCCAAGTTTACTCTCAAGTTACATTCTAAGGTCTCCTATATTTTGTTGACTGTTCTGCCACTCACTTTTCTTCTTTTTTAAGGGCTTTTCTTGCACAATTTCACTAAAAGAAAGTTCAGAAAGCACATGAGTTTCCCCCACAGGGGTATTCATCGTTGCTCTTCCATCCAATAAAAAAAAAATAACATTCAGCCTCCTGGCCTTTAGTCTGGTCCCACAAACCATGACACAGTACCCCTCAGTACCTTTCAAAAGCTTGGACCATACCTTTAACCAGCTCCTTGCTGCTCTGTCTCCCATCTGTACTCCTGGACAGAAACCTCTTCTTTCTGCCTGGGTTGGGGTCCAGAACCAATGTCAGGTCTCTCCTAAAAGCCCAGCACACACCTGCCAAGTTAGTGTGCTGGTGGTTCTCAAAACATGGACCCAGGATTGGAGATTTCATACCTCCCAGAACTCTATGAAATCTCTGAGCTCCAGGTCCCAAGCCAGGTTTTACCAACCGATGAGGGAACTGAAAAGTCAGTTTTTTTTAAATGACACAAGTTTCCTGGGGCTCCTTGATCTGCCAGACCCAGGTTTCCTCTAAGGCACAGCCCTGGCAGCTAGGTCTGGAACAGTCCCTCTATCCAGAAGGGGTATAAAAACAACAGTCACTCTCTCAGGATTATACAGAAATAGAAAGTGCGGCGCTAATAAGTTGTGTATCTAGAAAGTCACATATATTATTCAAGTGATCTAAGAGACACACTGTAATAAGTAGCACGAAGAGAGGTTATGGCTAATACATCAGGTGATAAAGTATGTCAGACAAGTTGTCGCAGGATCCTGCATAGGGATCAAATGATAAAAATGCGCACTCACCGGACACGCTATAGGTAAGCGCATTTGATTTATATTCACTGGAAATCCCTCATCTGTTGGGGAAGGTAAGCATCCATCTGGAAGAAGGTGATCCTGATGTTCCCTCTTAGTGGTGTGTAATAATAGGCAGCTTCCAGGTCCAGAGCTCCCCTTAAGGCTGGATAGACTTTTCTTCTGGATATAGAACTCCCTCCGGTGGTGATGGTGGATAATAGGATATCCTGGAAGTTCTTAGCTCCAATAGGAGCCAACAAAATGCCTCATAGTGTAGTATGATAAAACCAAAAATTTATTTCAAAAATAGGTATCATAAAAATATTGCAAGTGAACAGGGTAGAAACACTAAAAGCAATAAATTAAAAATGCAAAGTGCTACTGACCCTAAAATGTAGTGGCCGCCGGGCCTCCTCGTGGCTCCAGGCGGCTAAGATGTCACGCTCTGTTGGCTCTCTCAGGATTCTCTGCAGCCTACTCACTGTGATCCAGGTAGACTGAAGGCCTCCTTCACTTCAGTTGACTCTGACACGAGGTATCCTAGAAAGATACTCTCCAGATGTTGCTCTGATGTTCCTGTGACTTTAGGAAAAGGAGCCACTAGAACTCCTTTAGGCCTCTTCTAAGCCTTCGAAGTTTTAACAGCACTTCCAGGCTGGGTCAATCTCCAGTAGGCGAAAAACCCTTCTACTCTATGATCTCACCTTCATATACCACTTTTAGCACCCTGTTGGTCACTCTTCTTGACCAGGGATTGTCTGAGTCTGTATACAGGACTAGCTCAGACACGACCCTCTCCTGCTCCTTATGTTTCCAGAGAGTTCTGGAAAGATAGGAGGAGACAGGCAAGCCTGAAGCTGCAGAGCTCAGAGTAGGCAAAAAAAAGTATTCATACCAAATCAAACCAAAACCATAAGGCTCCGTGCACACTGGGCGTTTTAATACTGCTGGTAACATTAGCTGTGTAAAGTTACGTTAAAAACTTGAATTTTTCAGTGTTTTTTAGCGTTTAGCTGTATTTGCGCTCTTTAGCGGTTTTTACAGTTTTATCTGTGAGGACGTCAATGACGAAACGCGTAGGGAGGGCTTGTTTGGTGTGACGTCAGCACGCTCCCAGTGCTCGGTACAAACGCATGTGCTATGAGGCTGGGTTCATTTTGATTACATCTGATTATGCTGATTGTGCTGGTGTCGGCTGGGACACCATTTTTTTGTAAGTGTGATGAGCTTTTAATAAAAGTAATGATTTTAGAGGTACTACACCATGAGCTTTTGCTCTTTATATTCCGAGTGGCTATCCTATCCTAATACCTAATGGAAGGTGTGGTGTTTGAATGAAGTGGATCTACAGAGTCACAAATTCTACTGCTGAGTATTGCTCCCAGGGTAGTGGAGATCGTTTTCCAAGCCAAGCTTTGTCTCAACAGTCTACGGTTCATTGCTCCCAGAGCAGAAAGTGCTTATGCTGATTTATATTATTATCAGCATATTGCTCTGGTGAGTTTATTCATTTTATTTGGTGGTGGATACACTTGGTGGATTTCGTTTGAACACTTTTTTCATCAATAGCATCATTTTTTGGGGATTTATATAAATATATTTATTTGTCATGGATGTTCACTATATATATATATTTCTTTGGACACTCTTTTTTTACTAGTGCAGTCTGTTTGTAATACAGTTTTATTTGGTCAAAAAAAGTCCAAAAAATGTTGGTTTGCCACGATTTACTGCGTTTTGCTGTTTTTCAGCGTTAGAGTGTTTTTACAGCTAAAAACTCCTCTAGAA